AAGAAGAGCAGAGAGAATTCCAGCAGCAGTGCCCTTAAGTAAGCAAAAGCAATGAGCCAGTGCCCAAGTAGTGGAACACAAACCAAAGAGAAGGCACAGCACATGGACAGAGATGTACATGGGTGATTAGGTGTGCTGAGAGTACCTTGTGAGGCTTTCTTGCCATAGCTCCAATTTCTTTCGTGGAGTGAGAAACAAGGTCACCAGTTGAAACTCAGTGAGGGAGGAGAGGTTAAAGGTCTGAAAAGAGGAAGAAATTAAATCATTGTCTAGGCAAATAGAAAATTATATGCAAAGCAAATACAGTGGAACTGATGGAAGGAATCATGGCCCACTCGAGGTTACTGATTATGAATTTGAAGTGTGAACAGGCAGCACAGTTAAGTTTTTTTTCTTCTTAGCTGTGTCTGAAAGGGGGAAAAGAAGACCAAAATCTAGTCTGTGTCTCATGCCCAGAGAAGACACCTTTTCTTAATTCATCCACCCAGAGGGGTTGCCTCTGGTGTTTGACTAGTGGAGATACTAGATTGAAAGCCATGAGTGTGTTGTAAGATAGTTGGAGCTAGGCTGCTGCAAGAAGTGGGCTATAAAGATGAAAATGTGATCTAGGAGCTGAATGTTTGACATTAAGATTCTGACAAGGTCCAAGTTAAAGGTAAGTACAAGATCTACTGGCATATGACCATGTGGAAGTTTTCAGAACCAAAAAAGTTTTGTTGTTTTTTTTTTTAAGTAAAAAAGCTCTCTTGCTCACTCTCTCACCATATAATACCCTGGCTCCCACCTTCACCTTCCGCCATAATTATAAGCTCCTTTAGGCCTCACCACAAGTTGAGCATATGCCAGCACCATGCTTCCTGTACAGCCTACAGACACCCTTTGGAGGAAAAAGCTGAAAAATTTCAGAGACCTAATTTGTGGCTGCCTCACCCATACTAATTTATCCTTATAGAAAGACTGTACAGGCACTGCTCTAAGAGTTGGGATTCAATTTTCAAGGAGCCAATAGTGGGCAAGGAAATGCCAATCAAATGTCAGCTAATAGCAAATGAATAAAGTCTAAGATTCCTTAATGTGCTTGACATTTCCTACACCACACATTTTGGTTCCATATTATCTATGGTGCAAAGATATATAGTTCTTTCATGAAAGACTGTAGGGCTTCTCTTTTGTGACCACTAGTCAGCATCCCAAGGAGGCGGCCCTGCTGACAGATGCCAAGTGTGAACCATAAGGAGCAAAGACAGGTGATTTGTCTGAAACTTAAGCTTAGCCAGCCTTAGATCTTTCCATTCAAAGTTTAGAGTCCAAAAGCCTGGCTCACTAAGGTGCTGAACCAAAGAAAGTAAAGACGGCAAGTGTGGACATTTTCTACCAAGTTTTATCCCTTGTCCTTCTTTCCTCGTCACTGAACACTTCAGCCTTAAGGACCTATTTTCAATTCCCCAAAACTTGTTCTAGGACTCTGTCTGGGATTCATGTATTTGTGAAGTTATGCCATGCATGAAGAGAGGGGTTTAAGTGGATCTGAAAAACAGCACTGTTGCTCTGCTGTACAAACTGCTTCCTGGGAAGAGTCACTCCTCTAATTGGCACTTAAGTTTTGGCCACTCATTAAATTATGCACCACAGGACTGTATCTGACTGAGGAAGCATCTTTCTACAGATTTGCATGAAAACAGTATATGTACAGACTGGCTGTAGACCTGAAAATTTAAGACCAATCTTCACCATCTCCAACTCTATGAACTCTATTCACCACTTAAACGTCTTCATTCAATCCAAGTCTTTCTTGGTTGGACCCCATCCTGTCCTTTAAATATGACAGAAAATTTAATGACGAATCCAGGTGTGGTACAGAGTGTAATCCACTGAAAATAGAGCTTATTTAAGATAAGACAAATATAACAAAAAAAAATTAAATACAAAAAAAGTATTTTATTTATTGTCCATGTAATTTACATATTTTTAACTATATAGTGTGATAGATTAATATGCAATTTCATTTCATGCTGTAATCTATTTTATGCATTCTGCCTACCTTTAAATGTATTGCCAACGTTTCCGAATGTCAACAAAATTATAATTTTGAAATTTAAAAACACGGCAATTGTTTAGAAAATCAGCAAAGTAGAAAAAAACGAGTTAAGAGGCTTTGCTTCCAATAAAATAGCAACCTGTGCACTTGACATCCTTATCTAATGGTAGCTTTTCCAACCATCTCCAAGAAAGTCTTCCCAAACTTATACAAAGGCTGATTATGGAAACATATAAAGATTGCATATGGGTTTAAACATTTAAAACATAAATCTCGGCCGGGCGCGGTGGCTCAAGCCTGTAATCCCAGCACTTTGGGAGGCCGAGGCGGGTGGATCACAAGGTCAAGAGATCGAGACCATCCTGTTCAACATGGTGAAACCCCGTCTCTACTAAAAATACAAAAAAGTAGCTGGGCATGGTGGCACGTGCCTGTAATCCAAGCTACTCAGGAGGCTGAGGCAGGAGAATTGCCTGAACCCAGGAGGCGGAGGTTGCAGTGAGCCGAGATCGTGCCATTGCACTCCAGCCTGGGTAACAAGAGCGAAACTCTGTCTCAAAAAAAAAAAAAAAAAAAAAAAACCATAAATCTCTACTGTGTTGTGTTCTAAACAACTATACATTAATTAAAAAAATGCTCAAAATAAAAACAAACAACAACCACACACACAAAAAAAAAACACCCCTAAAATCAGAGCCAGGGAAGGCCATGAAGAGAGGGTTCTCCTGCTAGGATGCTTGACAATAAAAACTATCATGACAGACTGAAAAAATTGCAACCTTGCACAAAGGCAATCACAACCTCACACAAAAAACATACTTCTGCAAGGACATCTGCCCAGCAACTGGTTGTCCAACCTTGAAATGGCATCACCCTTGTTATTGGTCTTTGTAGCCAAGGATAATTATTTCAAAATGATTAGGTATTCCTTCTCATTTTTCCCTTTGAAAACCTTTATCTGCAGTGGCACATGCCTGTAATTCCAGCTGCTAAGGAGGCTGACATGGGAGGATCACTTGAGCCCAGGGAATCAAGGTCAGCAGGGGCAACATAGTGGGACCCTGTCTCTAAAAACAAAAACTAAAACACAAAAAATAAACCTTTGTCTTTCTTTACCTCCCTGAATACGCACATAGTTTACCATGGCGCACATATTCACAAGGCATTGGCTATTTCCAAATATACATATTTCTTAGAGAGCTCTGTTATTTAGGTTGACAGCTATGAGAGGGAGTTATCAAGATAAGACAGAGGACAAGACCAGAGGAGAAAAAGTCAAGAATCCTCTACATGTCTATTCAAATTACTAACAATGAAGAAAGAAAGAATGATGAGGAAATGGCAGTGAGCCACAAGCTAAAAAGTCCTGAAGAATTCAGGCAGAGTGACCCAAGGTGTCCTCATGGACTACAGCAAGGGAACGGGAATATAGGACAATCTAAACTGGTAACATGAGATTTAAAACTAACAGATTTTAGGGAGGAGATAAAGAAAGGTCTAGAGACAACATGTGTTTTGGTTTTGGGAGTGGAGATTGTGGGTTTTGTTTTCAGACAGGGTCTCACTCTGTTGCCCAGGCTGGAATGCAGTGACACCATCATAGCTCACTGTAACCTCCGCTTCCTGAGCTCAAGTGATCCTCCCAACTCCGACTCTCAAGTAAGTGGGACTACAGGCTTGTGCCACCACATTGAGCTAATTTTTGTATTTTTAGTAGAGTTTGGGTTTCACTATGTTGCCCAGGCTGGCCTCCAACTCCTGGGCTCAAGAGACCCAGCCACCTCCGCCTCCCAAAATGCTGGGATTACAGGTGTGAGCCACTGCCGGCAAAAATTAAGGCAAAATAATTCACCCACCTCCAGGTCCGGCAGTGCAAGGATGGGAGAGAAAATGTCAATCTTTCAAGAGAGCTGCCTCGGGAAGAGCAAGGAAGTGAAGAGAAGATTCAGTGAAGACTTGAAGATTTGGATTTGGGAGATTATGCTGACAATTGATCATAAAATTCCAAAAGGCCAGTGAAATGCTCTAAGAAGTGCAAAACCATGGAGGAGTCTTGGCGTGGAAATGGCCAGGCAGTCCTGGGATTCATGTGGTGAGTGACATGATGAGAGTAGCCCTGTGGTCTCCAGCAGAGGACACAGAGAAGACATAAGTGAGGGTGGTCTTTATAGGAGTCTGAAGAATTCTACAGCAATCTCTTGGCTCCTACTGATGGAGACTTCCAAGCCAGCAGGAGGTGGTCCTACTCTTTTGGTCATCTAACACAGATCTCACAAGCCCAGTGGAGATTTCTGTGATCATGGAAATGTTTTATATCTGCACTGTCCAATAGAGTTGCCACCAGCCATATGTGGATGGCACACATCTAACCCCAGCATATCTCCAGCTTTTTGTGACCATTCTCTTCAGTATTAACAGGAGACCAATTCCTTGTCTGTCTACCAAAGAAAATATATGTCAACATAAAAAGCACAGACTAGACTACATAAAACAGACTAGAAAACCAAGGCAGTGGGCACGTTTGCATTGAAATCTACATTTCCAGATGATTATTAGAAGTGATAATTACAAATGGGCCCACGTCATAAAGCTTGAGCTTAACAAAGTTCTAGAATCAATGATTATGGAGCTGATCTTGACACCTACTAAGGAATGCTCTCCAGAAATCAGCATTGGTTCACTAGGAAAATGTCCCAGGACCTCTCTAGGGACCAATTTACAATCACTCAGTAAATGTTCTCTGCTAATGTTGACAGTACAGTTTCTCCCCAACCATGAACACCTATCCCAGAAACAGCCTGGAATACGGGGAGTTGTAAGAGAGGAAGGTGACCTCCACCTGGGGAACTACTACTGGTGAGGCAGCACAGAAACGGATTCAGAATAATTCAGTCACAAACATTGTTCTTATCACTGCATACATGGGACACCGGAGAGAGAGAAAGGAGAAAAATAAAACTGAAGATTCTAAATGCTTTATTGAAAGAGAGAAAAACGTTTTCCTCCTTTCCCAGTGGGTTTTGTTTTGGTCCCCGTGGGGGCCACTGCAGCACCGCATCCGGGAGGCTCACCTTCCTAGATACTGGATCTAAGGACTGTTTTTTAGCAGACAGAGAAGTAAAAGAGAAAACAAGGGTTAGAATTTGAGATCTACCAATGAGCCATACAGGGGGGAAAAAAGAGGTTTTATTTTCTAATTTTTTAAGAAAATACATATTTTTCCTGTCTCTGGGGACCCATGGCTGTCTGGGGATGGCGTGTGTGTTGCCTCACCTGCCTTTCTATGTGTTGTCTCCCTTTGCAAAGCTCTGGTGATGGCTTTTGCTTGCTGGGGTTAACACAGCATCTCCACCACTGACGCCAGGCGGACACGGCTTCATGAGTCAGTGAAGACTAGCCTTCAGAAGCTATTAAGTCCCAGAGAGGGGAGGCCAAGAAGCAACTGTCTCCTCTGCTTCATGGCAGTGTCACGTGCAGGATGTTTTCCTGGCTCCAAGAGTTAACCATGCAGCTAATAAGCTGGATTCCAGTGAAAGGAAAGTGTGCGAGTCACTGATAAAAAGCACTCTCTTTTTGTCACTCAGTCACAGTGTTACACCCTTGAGAGAAAAGCAAGCAAGTATTCACATAATCTGTCTACTGTAAAAAAAGGCAATGATTAAATTTTTAATGGTGTTCAGTGGCCAATTCCTTTATGAAATTTTCTCTTACCATAGTTACAATGACTCTACCATTCACTGAATTCTGTGGACTAGTAACCAGGATAAACGCTTCAGACACACATTCTTCCATGATTCTCGAACCATCTTATATTCTGGATCCCATTTAAGTGACGAGCAAACTGAGATTCAGTCAAGGTTCCAGCTATGACTTTACAAGCACTGGTGAATGATGGAGCCAAGGGCAATCTGATCCCAGAACCTCCTAATCATACTATCAGATAAACAATGTCCAAGTAAATGCAACAATCAGCCACCCCAATCTGAGCAGTCACATTCCTGCTGCATTGCTCTGTAAAAAAAAAAAAAAAATCTAATAAAAATTATCTTGCATAGTCTTCTCATTATGCATACCACATAATTTTTTTTTAAAAAAAAAGCTACTGTCTGACTTCCAGGTTTGATTCTCAGCATTTATGGAGTTCATCTCCCCAGAACCCAAATTAATGACATTATTTATATGAGTCACTAGGCTAATCTAGTGCTCTATAGGAAGTCATAATTGCTTTCAGTTGTTAAACAAATCTCTAGGCTCATATCAAGATCATTGCCAATTAATCCTTTAAAAGTCATTAAAAATAGGGAAAGCTCCAAAAGACCAAAGACAGGAAGATACTGAAACTATAAAAATGAAATTTCAATTTTGTGGTATCTAGTGGACAAGATGGAGAAATAACATACTAAATAACTGACATTAAATCCTTGACACTGTGTTGCCATAATTTATCCTAGCCTTCACTTCAAGGTAGATATTCTTCCACTTTACACATGATGATAGTGAGTTTCAGAGAAGGTATTATACATGATTTTCCAAATATTGCCCTACTAAGTGAAGATCTTCAAAATTGGTGCTATGGACAGAATATTTGCATCTCCCCAAAATTTGTATGTTGAAGCCTAAATCTCCACTGTGAGGGCCTTTGGAGATGAGGCCCTCAGGAGACAATCAGGTCATAAGGGTTGAGGTGTCATGATGAAATTAATGTCCAAATACACATACAAAGAGACATGAGAGAGCTTCCTCTCCTTCTGCTCTCTACCATGTGAGGGTAGAAGAAAATGGTCAACTGCAATTCAGGAAGAGGATGTCACCAGACACCAGTCAGTGCCTTGATCTTGGACTACCCCAGCCTCCAGAACTATGAGAAATAAATTTCTGTTGTTTAAATCACCCAGTGCATGGTATTCTGTTACAGGAACCCAAACTGAATGACACTTGAGTAGCAACTAGAGACTGACGTGTGAGAAGAATCAGCTGGTTGAATCCAAAGTCAAAGAGTGCTCTGAGAAAATTTTGCTCTGAGATGAATACCCATCTACTTGATTAGTAGTGGTATGTTCTCATTGGTTTCAATTTCAATTTCAATTTCTGCCTTCATTTCATTATTTACCAAATAATCATTCAAGAGCAGGCTGTTCAGTTTCTATGTAGTTGTGCAGTTTTGAGTCAGCTTCTTAGTCCTGAGTTGTAATTTGATCGTACTGTGGTCTGAGAGACTGTTAAGATTTTCGTTCTTTTTTGCATTTGCTGAGAAGTGTTTTACTTACAATTATGTGGTCAATTTTAGAGTAGGTGTGATGTGGTGCTGGAATGAATGTATATTCTGTCAATTTGGCATGACGAGTTCTATAGATGCCTATTAGGTCTGCTTGATCCAGAGCTGAGTTCAAGTCGTGAATATCCTTGTTAATTTTCTGTCTCGTTGATTTAATATTGACAGTGGGGTGTTGAAGTCTCCCACTATTATTGTGTGTTAAAGTCTCCTACTATTATTGTGTGGCAATTTAAGTCTCTTTGTAAGTCTCCAGAAACTTGCTTTATGAATCTATATGCCCCTGTATTGGGTGCATATACATTTAGGATAGTTAGCTCTTCTTGTTGCATTGATCCCTCTATCATTAGGTAATGCCCTTCTTTGTCTTTTTTGATTTTTGTTGGCTTAAAGTCTGTTTTGTCAGAGACTAGAAATGCAACACTTTTTTTTTTTTTTGCTTTTCATTTTCTTGGTAAATATTCCTCTATCCTTTTGAGTATATGTGTGTCTTTGCATATGAGATGGGTCTCCTGAATACAGCACATTGATGGGTCTTGACTCTTTTTCCAATTTGCCACTCTGTGTCTTTTAATTGGGGAATTTAGCCCATTTACATTTAAGGTTAATATTGTTATGTGTGAATTTGATCCTGTCATTATGATGCTAGCTGGTTATTTTTCCCATTAGTTTATACAGTTTCTTCATAGTCTTGATGGTCTTTACAATTTGGTACATTTTTGCAAGAGCTGGTACCAGTTTTTTCTTTCCATATTTAGTGCTTCATTCAAGACCTCTTGTCAGACAGGCCTGGTGGTGACAAAATGTTTCAGAATTTTCTTGTCTGTAAAGGATTTTATTTCTCCTTCACTTATGAAGATTAGTTTGGCTGGATATGTAATTCTGGGTTGAAAATTCTTTTCTTTGACAATGTTAAATATTGGGCCATTCCAGACCCTCTTTGCCTGGCTTATATGGTTTCTGCAGAGACATCTGCTGTTAGACTGATGAACTTCCTCTTGTGGGTAACCCAACTTTTCTCTCTGGCTGCCCTTAGCATTTTTTCTTCATTTTAACCTTGGTGAATCTGATGATTATGTGTCTTGGAGTTGCTCTTCTTGAGGAGTATCTTTGTGGTGTTCTATTTTCTAAATTTGAACGTTGGCCTGTCTTGGCTAGGTTGGGGAAATTCTCCAGGGTAATATCCTAAAGAGTGTTTTCCAACTTGCTTCCATTCTCCCTGTCACTTTCAGGTACCCCAATCAAATGTAGGTTTGGTCTTTTCAAATAGTCTCATATTTCTTGGAGGCTTTGTTTATTCCTCTTCATTCTTTTTTCTCTAATCTTATCTTCATGCTTTACTTCATTAAGTTGATCATCAATCTCTGATATCCTTTCTTCTGCTTGATCTATTCAGCTATTGATACTTGTGTATGCTTCATGAAGTTCTTTTGCTGTGTTTTTCAGCTCCATCAGGTCATTTATGTTCTTCTCTAAACTGATTATTCTAGTTAGCAATTTGTCTAACATTTTTTCAAGGTTCTTACTTCCTTGAATTGGGTTAGAACATGTTCCTTTAGCCCAGAGGAGTATGTTGTTACCCAACTTCTGAAGTCTACTTCTGTCAATTCTTCAAACTAATTCTCTGTCCAGTTTTATTTCCCTCCTGAAAAGGAGTTGTAATCCTTAGGAGGAGAAAAGGCATTCTGGTTTTTGGAATGTTCAGCTTCTTATGCTGGTTTTCCTCATCTTTGTGAATTTATCTACCTTTGGTCTTTGATTTTGGTAACCTTTGGATTGGGTTTTTGTGTGGATATCTTTTTTGTTGACGTTGATGCTCCTCCTTTCTGTTTGTTAGTTTTGCTTCTAACAGTCAGACCCTTCTACTGCAGATCTGTTGGAGATCCACTCCAGACCCTCTTTGCCTCATTATCACCAGCAGAGACTGCAGAACAGCAAAGATTGCTGCTTCTTCCTTCCTCTGGAAGCTTCATCCCAGAAAGGCACCTAGCAGATGCCAGCTGGAGCCCTCCTGTATGAGGTGTCTGTTGACCCTGCTGGAAGATGTGTTCCAGTCAAGAGGCATGGAGGTCAGAGACCCACTTGAGGAGGCATTGTGTCCTGCAGCAGAGATCAAGTGCTGTGCTGGGAGATCCACTGCTCTCTTCAGAGCCAGAAGGCAGGAATGTTTAAGTCTCCTGAAGCTGCGCTCACAGCCATCCCTTCCCCCAGGTGCTCTGTCCCAGGGAGATGGGAGTTTTATTTATAAGCCCCTGATGAGGGCTGCTGCCTTTCTTTCAGAGATGCCAGGCCCAGAGAGGAGGAATCTAGAGAGGCAGTCTGTCTACAGCAGCTTTGCTGTGCTTCAGTGAGTTCCACCCAGTTCTAACTTCCCAACAGCTTTGTTTACACTGTGAGGGGAAAACCACCTACTCAAGCCTCCGTAATGGTGGATGCCCTTCCCCACACCAAGCTCAAGAGTCCTAGGTTGACTTCAGACTGCTGTGCTGGCAGTGAGATTTCAAGCCAGTGGATCTTAGCTTGCTGGACTCCATAGGGGTGGGATCTGCTGAGCTAAACTACTTGGCTCCCTGGCTTCATCTCCCTTTCCAGGGGAGTAAATGGTTCTGTCTCACTGGTGTTCCAGGCACCACTGAGATATGGAAGAAAAAAAAAAACTCCTGAAGCTAGCTCAGTGTCTGCCAAAAGGCCATCCGGTTTTGTGCTTGAAACCCAGTGCCCTGGTGGCGTAGGCACCTGAGGGAATCTCCCAGCCTGAGGGTTGCAAAGACTGTGGGAAAAGCATGGTATCTGGGCCAGAATGCAGCATTCCTCATGGCACAGTCCCTCACGGCTTCCCTTGGCTAGGGGAGGGAGTTCCCCGATCCTCTGTACTTCCCACGTGAGGCAATGCCCCACCTTGCTTTGGCTCACTATCTGTGGGCTGAACCCACTGTCTAACCAGTCCCAATGAGATGAGCTGGGTACCTAAGTTGAAAATGCAGAAATCACTCGCCTTCTGCATTAATCTCACTGGGAGCTGCAGACTGGAGCTGTTCCTATTCAGTCATCATCTGTGCTGCATTTTTAGGAAATTCCCAGACTAAGAATCTTCCCAAGCAATGCAATTGGAATGTCAGAGTGTGTGGAAATCGTACCGTATGTATTGAATGATCTGAATTTGAAACCAATGAGTCTGAAAAGAAAGAGATTCAAGAAGATAATATATGCCATTAAATATATAAAATAGAGATTTGACTTGTATGAAAAACCAGAGTAAGAAGAACCACCTGCTGGAAGTTGTTTGAGAGAATTGACTGTGCTCTGATAGGACAAAGTGGTGACATCCCCAAGACTAGCCTACCCCAGTGACTGAATGAACAAATGAATTAAATGTTGGAGCAGAAATTAAATTATCATCTCCCAAGGGATAGTGTCCAAAGATTCCTGAATTTGGGTAAAAGGCTGGACTTTCTTGTGTATATCGTCCTCATATTGGCAGACTTTCCAGTTGCTAAAAATCGTTCTCAGAGACTAGGCCTCCTTTCACTGATTCTAAGGAACCCCATACCAATGCCAACATCCTTCTTGAAGGTATCTCTTCCTGGACCAGGTGTGTTAGACCCTCACAGGCCAAGCATATCAAGGAAAGACCATTTCTTACAATTCTCTATCTTCTAGATTACCGAACCTAGTGTTGCATTGTCCCTCACTGAGGGACAAGCTGGGTATTGACCAAAATTCATGTATTTCAAAAGTGCAAGGTTAGGAAGCCACAAATATGTGGAAGCTAGGAAGTCCCTGCAGATGCAGGGGACATGTACCAAGTAAATGGCTGGGCAACAATTCCCCCAGTCACACTCCACTCCAACCCAGAGGAAACCCTGGCACTGGAGAGAAGCTGTGGAGCAACAAAGCAGATATGCCATGTCCCAAGCAGTGTTCCTAACATATGATATATAAATATATATTAACTCATTTAATTCTCCCAATAACTGTGTGGGATAGTACATCCTTTTTATAGATTAGGAAACTGAAGCCAAGGGAGAGCTGACAACTTCCCAAGATCACACAGTGAGTCACGGTGGAGCCAGGATCAGAACCCAGGCAATCCAATCCTGGGCTCCTAACCTAAGCTCTTTAGTGTTTACTGAGATGTAAATGTGTACCTCAATCCTCTCTGCTTAAGGGGAAACTACTTAGAGGCAGCTTCAGACACAGAGCATATACTATGTGATCAATAAACAACTGTCAAATTCAATTAGTGCTTTAAATCATCTGGAACTTGTTGACAGTGACCAAGGTATTCAGAACTGGAGATGTCCAGATACATCTTCATGTTCTAGTTTATTCCCTCGCATGAAACGTCCTTGTCATCCACATTCCACTTTGTCTTTGTGGTTTTTATTTTATTGGCATGTTGTTGTTATCTAGCTTGGGGCATGAAGTCATTTATTTGGTTTTAGGCAAACCAAAGACCAATGAGAACAAGTTCTAGCTTCCTGTGGTACCTCATTTGTTGAAGAAGGGAGAAAAAAAAATCGTGTGAGCTAGTTAACTTGGTAAAGCTTAAGGTAAATTTCTTTTACCATAAAAGACAGAATAACTATCTACTTGGTGGTCAAGCCTTTCTCTGAGACCTGAATTAACCCTCAAAATAGTGTATTTAAGAGTGTAGCTGAAAGCCTGCAATTAAGAAAATCTCCACTTTTAAGAGTTCAGAGTTGAAGACGCCTGAAAATTCCATCAGGAAGATCTAAGACCAGAAGTACCCGCCCCTCCAGGCTTCATCCGGCTGGGACAGAGCCTGGGTTTCGGCACAGCATGGTTATGAAAGCCTCAGGAGAACAGCCAACGGATGTCCTGGGGGAGCAGGAGTGGATTTCACAGGAATCCACAAGGCCCTGGCCTTCACTCTCAGTCCAGCTGGCTCTCAGTTACAACAAGGCAAATTCCACCAGCTGAATGAATCCCAGCAGCTGTGGTAGCCTGGAGGCTCCATTCTGTACAATACATCAGGCAGCCAGTCAGTTCTGAGCCAACTGCTTTCTGCGTGATGAATCAGCCCCGGCCCCCAGAAGGGTGGCCGTCAACATAGATGAGGTCCCTGGACTATATGTACCCCCTTCCACACTGCTTTAGGCACTGAGAATTCATCAATGGGCAGGCCAGATAACACCCCTGCTCTTGTACAAGTTACTTTTGAATCTACTCTAAGGAAATAATCAGAAATATGCCCCCCAAATTGCAGATAGTATTATTATAATAGCAAAATATTGGAAATGATTTTCACAACAAACCGTGGTCCACTAGTTAAATAAATTCTAGTACATCCATTTGAAGTCACAGAGCTAACCATTTTTTAAAATCATGTTATACAAGAATACCAAATGATTTAGAAATTATATATATATATATATATATATATATATATATATATATATTCCAATATATTAAATGGGAAAAAAAGAAAAGATAACAAAGCAGTGAGTACAATATGTCTCCAAAGTTGTGAACAAAAAAAATGCTTATATGCACATGAAAATAAACTGCAAAGACATACACCAAAACATTAACTATAGCTACCGTTGGATGGGGGGATGAGTGGTGACTTTGTGTTCTTCTTTGCGTGTTCTGCAAAACTCTCCTTTTGCCAAATTTCAACAATAAATACATATGTCAGTCAAGTTCCAGCTAAGAAAACAGCACATACCAGGTAGCTCAATATTAGGAATTTAATATGGGGAACAAGGAACTAACTTTTATGAGCAGTAACAGGAAGCAGTGAGGTAACAGGAAGCAGTGAGGTTGTCCAGCAATTAGCAGAATCAAGAAGCTAGTACCAAGAAGTGGGAGAGAAAAGAGAAGAGGTGATACTAACAGAGGCAGTAGTCCAAGCCACTCGGTGGAATCTGTGGCTTTTCAGAGAGAAGATATAGGCTACTTCTGGAACATCACTTGAAGCAGAGAGAGGAGTAGAAATCCCCTGGTTCTTCAGTACAGCACTTCACACCCTCCGATCCCCTGCAGTGCTTCACACCCACTAAGCCCGGAGTGGAGCCGGTAGGGAAGAGAGCTGGGAAGTGAAGTTTGCAGTGGAAGCCAGCTGCAGTTCAGAGCAGGCAAAGATAAGAGCAGGGACGGATCTGAGAGCAAACACACAGGTGACTGGCACATCAGTTCTAGAATCGTGTGGGGAAAGAAAAAATGGACGCTCTTAAGAGAACACAAAAGTAGGACACATTTCCGAATGTTGTCTTTCTTCTGCTTGTAATTCAGAAACTTCAGATGCAACGACAAAGCCCTTGTTGTCTGCAAGTCATGCAGAGGCATGTACATTGTCAGAATACACCTTGTCAGACGCTGAAGGTGTTAGTGAAAAAATTCATGATCTGGGTTTCCCTTCTTGCTTTTTGGATTCCTACTTTACTTTGCCAAGCATCTCTCAGCTGAGAGCCTTCAGCTGCTCCAGGTTTCCAATACGGTGTCCCCTTGGGCCAATTCTTTCCTCTCTCTCCTCTACCCCAAACTCCCAAGCAATCCGTACCTATTCTAGAAGCCACACTATAGGAGTTTCAGTTGCTGCCAGAAAGTAGATGTTACTCTGAGAGATTTAGTGTTGAGTTTAGGGAAAAGGTGTATTTAAAACAACAAATTAGCTACTTTAATCATCCCACAGGGCATGCGTTTAGAAGGCTACAAATCTTTCAATTAAACTTAAATAGTTTTTACCAAAAACTTGAAATTCACCCAAAACTGTACTTGGAACTATGAAACATACAAAGAAAATTAAAACCAGCTTCTTTTTCACAAGGAACAGATAAGAGGCTTTCTGATTATTCAAGACAAAACTTCTGGAGACTTCCTCATAAACTGTCAGTAAACCGTTCTGGTTCAATCTTGAAGACATATACAAAGTCTAGCCACTGCTCATAATCTCCTCTCAAGCAACTCTCCCAAGCCACATCATTCAACACCTGGACTGTCGCAAGGGCCTCCTCCCTGGTTTCCCAGCTTCCACACTTGTCCCCAACCCCCTCATTCCCCACAGTCAATCCTCAACATAGCGGCCAGAGTGATCCTTTAAACCATAATAAGACCTATGTCAGTCCTCTGCTCACAACTTTCCAATGGTCTCCCATCTCAGAATAAAAGCCAGCATCTTTAAATGGTCCATGAGGTCCGAAGTGACCTGCCACTTCCCCCAGCCATTACCTCTCAGCCCTCACCACTCACTCACCCAGCTGCTCAGAGATGCCAGGCCTGCTCCTGCCTTGGGACCTGGGCAGTTGCTGTTACCTCTGCCTGGAATACCTTCCTCCAGACATAGGCAGGACTTCCTCTCTTACCTCCTTCATGTCTTTGCTCAAGTCTCACCTTCTCAGGGAGACCCTTCTTTATTCCTCCCTTTCTCCGGTTTCTGTTTTATTTTTCTACCTAGGCCTTATCAACTTCTAATACGCTGCATAATTTACTGAGTTATTTTATTGCCTGTGCCTTCCCACCATAGAGGTAAACTCAAGAGCTGGGATTTTTTCTGCTGTGAACATTGACGTGTCTCCAGCATTTCAAAGAGGGGCTAGCTCACAGTAGGGACTCAGCCAGTATTTGCTGAATGGATGCATGTTGGTACAGGTCTGAATGACAACAGCACAGGCAGAGGTTGGTGTGGCAGGTCAGTGTCCTGGGCTGGGCAGAGGCCAACGGGCAGTAGGTGGGATCCTAGGGAGAGCATCCCCTCTTCCCATTTAAAGGGAGAAAACCTTTTCCCTATGATGAATCCTCTCACACAGCTGCTGAACCTTATTCCCTCAGCCTCCCCAGGAAACCTCACTTTGTTATCATCCTTCTTGATTATTAGCCTCTCTTTTATTTTTTGAGACAGTCTCACCAGGTCACTCAGGCTGGAGTGGCACAACCACAACTCACTTCACCCTCAATCTCCCGGACTCAATCGATCCTCCCACCTCAGCCTCCCAAGTAGCTAATTTTTTTAATTTTTTTTGTAGAGACAGGGTCTCACTATGTTGCCCAGGCATGCAGCCTCTCTTCTTCCAGTAGTTCTTTTCCTTCACACTAAAAACTTGCTCAAATGTCCTCAACTTACAGGGAAAGAGAAAGAAAAACCTCTCCCTGGATCCCACACCCTCTTTACCTATCCTATGGACTTCCTCCTTCTGTCACAAAGTCCTAGAA